CGCGGTGCCGGGGCTGGCAGCCCTCGGGTTGCAAGCTGAGAAACCGGATTTACATTCCTGTCAGCGACCAGTGTCATCCTGGGGGTGCAGCATGTGGAAGCAAATGGGTGTTCTTGAGCTCCTGCAGTGGAAAATGGGTGTCCTTGGCTTATCTTCACTGTGCGACTATGCACGTAGCTGGTTGGAAGGGCGAATGTAACACTGGTGACAAGCCTTCTGATTTCCGAGGTCTGAAAGTTCCCTTTTTTTTTTTTCCTATTATCTATCAGTAACTTTAAAAAAAAAAACAAACCCAAGCTTCAGAGCAGATTTTGAAGCTTGACCAATGCTAAGTTAAGTGGGCCATATACCTCAAAATCCCAGCATATATATTTTCCAGCTAGAATGATGGCTTGGAAATTTCTGGTGCCATATTTACATCAGGGAGCCACATGGTAAATGGAGATGGGCAGGGTCATTTTCCATCAGAGCATCTTCATATGTTACCAAGAAAAAAAAAAAAGGAGGTAGCATGAAGAAAACATATCCACTGCTGTAATGGCTGGCGAAGCAGTAGAATTTTGGGGCAGAAAGTTAGTCAAATCGATAAAAGACTTTCCACATGAGAAATTTCTGCCTGGCAATAGCAGGAAATGATCCTTTGTCATCTCTCTTCTAGTCCCACAGCTTCTCTGTTTAAACAAAAATAACTCTTTAAAGTACAAAGTCTGCTATTACTGATCTTATAGTATTTCTTACGTGTTTTAATACTTATGAGCTCAGGTAAGAGTCAGGGACATGTAGTCAAAATAGATTTGATCATTTGCCTTGTAGCTTCCTATATTTTAGAAGTCTTTAGTAGTGAGTTCACTAGCTTCTAGCACTAACAAATGGGAGTATTGCACAGGCGTAATAAGCCAGGATTGGTGCACACAATGGATTAAAACTTTGTGCTGCAGGATGGTTTGTATGGTTGGGTTGCCAACAGCAATCTGTTCCATGAAGCTTCTGTTGGAGAATGGTTTTAGCATAGAAGTCCGCGTGCCTGGATTGTGATTCAGTGTTGCATACGGGTTGAAATTCTATGTTATGCTTCTAAATACAACACAGTAACTTTTAAAAACAATGTTCTTGTTTCATATAGCTGTATTACCAAGTCTTAAATTTTGCTATGATAGTGTCTTCTGCCCTTATGATATGGAAAGGGCTGATCGTCATTACCGGAAGTGAAAGCCCTATTGTTGTGGTGCTCAGGTAAGTCAATGTGAAGGCTTTTTTGTTCAAGTCCAAAGATTGTTTTGTCCTTTATCTCCTCCCCTTCCCCCTTGGATAGATTTGGAGTTTGAAATCTCACCTGCTTTAAAGAAGTATTCAGATGCTTATTTTCTTCTGACTCTGTTTTTGGACACTTAGCAAAGGCTGCTTTTGTAATTGCAGTCTGGTTTTCACTGAAGTTTGTAGAAGCGGTAGATATGTGGCATTTAAAGAGCCAGTCCTGCAGGCCCCTAAGTGCTGATCAAGTACATGAAGTTAAAACACGTGTTCATGGAAGATTCAGCCTTACAGAAATTGAATGTGTGTCAGCAAGGAATGTATGCGGTAAATAACAGTGTTTTAATGGAGATTGTCTGACTGTGTTATTAGCTACGGGATCTGGAATCCTACCTTAAAGGTTGTTACCAAAAGATACTATGGCTGGCTCTGAAAAAAGGCACAGATTTTCTGATCATTAATAGTAATCACTGATGTAAGCATAACTCTTGCTCATGTTAATTAAACCCTTTCTATGTGTAGAAGTACTGTCTGTCGTACCGTGAAACATTTTTTGGCTTTTCACTAATGGATTGGTTTTCTTAACCAGAATGGCTCGTTTTGTTCCTTCCTCATAGCTACAATGCTGTTACTTTTCTGTACAGCTTCTTTCTTTCTTTCACTGAGACAGTAAGAAAGTTTTCTATAGCCTGGCTCAGCTTGGGACGTACAGAGGTTTGGGTTGTGTTAAATGCCTGTGTAGTGTTATTGAATGGGTGAAGCTACAGATTTGAGTTAAAATCATGAGTTTATCTGTAAGAATTAAATATTCTTTGTTTTCATGGTTCTTCTTTCGTTTACCATAATGCTAATAAACTCACTCTTTCTTTTTGTTTTGTAGTGGAAGCATGGAACCAGCTTTTCACAGGGGAGACCTGTTGTTCTTAACAAATTTCCATGATGACCCAATCAGAGCTGGTGAAATAGTTGTTTTCAAAGTTGAAGGCAGAGACATTCCAATAGTTCACAGAGTAATCAAAATACATGAAAAGTAATGCAACTTGGCATTTTCCTTGTTTCTAAATATAGTTTCCTTCACCGTGACTTTCACTTACGTTTTAATTTGGTAGTATTTTATGAAAAAGGCAAGTGAGGATATGCTGTAAGATAAATGTGATCCGCTTTTGTCCCCAGTTCTGTGGCGCGCTTCTTGAGACCCTGACTCCTGTCCCTCAGCAAAGTTGCTCAGGTTCGAAGTAGGTAAACCTGTGCCATAGAGGAGTCCGGTAACACAAGCTATACACGTTATTTTTGCCAGCGGTAGCAATATGTAGGAGCAGAGTCCACTTCTGTACTGGCTGTTGCAGAATTGGGATTTTGATTATGAGAAATAGCTACTTCTAAAAGCAAATCTCTGAAAGAAGGTGAAGATTCAGAATCAGAACTGTAAATGAAGTCTGACAAGTATGTGATCTTTGCTAACTGAAGTTTTCCAGAAAAGAGATTTGACTCAGAATGAAGGAAGAGATTCTTACTCTTTTTGTGTCTGTTAGTCACAATGCCAACAACAATTCATGCTGAAAAGCAACAGGTGGATTACTTGTTTTTACCTTTATTGCATATCCCTGGCATGATGAACAGTTTCTTCTCAGACAAACAGAGGCAGTTCTGTTTCTAATTCTACACAGCAAAAAGCTAACCTGGAGGTGGCAAATATTGACATATTTGCTCCTCAGGAGGTCCTGGCCATGAACTGAAGGTGTTTATCTTTTGAGTAATATCTGTTCTTCAACGCATTTTTGAAACAAATATGTATATCCAAGAATTACCTCTTCTTTTTTTTTAATACCTAATTTGCCTTCATAAAAATTTCTTGTTTCTTGATATCGTTACTTGCAATTAGCAGCTTCTTGAGCATAATCATTTTGAAGACTGTAAACTTAACTTCATTTAAATGGGAGTGTTGAACTGAAGTCTTGCATGCATTGTGTGCAATACGCCTAATGCTTGAAAGGGAGCGAAACGGGAGGTTTTCTAACAGCAGTGGTTAAATTATATCATGTTCAAAACGTAGCGTAGGATACTTTGTTCATTTGAAACAGTAGGGG